GTGTGGCCTTTTAGTTATTCATAACAATGAACAAATAATTATTCTCTTATGAACAACGCCTTTTGCAATAATCATTATGCAATAGGCTAGAGTATACGGAAATCTAAAATGGATAATGAAAATAAACATAGAGGTAATACACTAATGGGAAGTACTGTAACTTCTACAAAGTTTCCATCGCATATTTAACCTCATTATTTTCTGGCCATTTAGGATGTTTGTAATTTCTTGCAACGATTCACAACAACATGCAATCGAGTCAACTTCCTATCATCAACTTTTAACCACAATCTCGAAGAATTAGTGATCAATAGTACAAATTCTCAAGTATTACACTCACTTGACCAACTTCCCCTACATCTTATAACTTATATGCCATTCATACCTAAGCTGGACATTCCAATCTTCTTTTCTTTCTGCGTTTTACTTCTTAGAGTTTAACTTCCAATATTTCTCCTACTCACAAAAGAAGCATCCAACTTTAAGAGTGGCATGAGCCCTAAACTTCCCTAGGCATGCAAGTCTCATTACATCCTCCGGATTTGTTCTTTTTCTTTCTGTTTTCACCATCAACAGACGAATAGTGTTCTTTCGGATCCTATGCATTCAGTCTTAAACATAGTTGAATGCTTCACTAGAACTTGCAAGCAAACACTTCTTTAGATATCACATATCTTTGAGTCTTTGTTTGTTTCTGAAAACAATTTTCAGTTCCAAGAATATCACGTGATTATCCCAAATGTTTTGCAGTTCAGGTTTCTTGGAAGCAAGGACCGCAATATGATTCTAGCCTTGTGAGCCCCATCATCCATAGCATCAGCATGAGAGTATTGTAAGCATGCAGTAGGACAAAAAAAATCTTCTTGGCACTCTAGAGGATGATCCTCACATTATGTTTACCAATCATAATTAAAGAGTCAACCAGATAAATAATAGTTAATCAATTTCAATAGGAAAAGTGGAACCGTGAGTCATATTCTATAACTATAATGCAAACTACGCGAGTCATATTCTATAACTATAATGCAAATTACGCATACACATTTATTCATAATTAATTTACACTAGTGATTAAACTAAATTAATACATAATTGTGCTCCCACTCAAACCAATATCTCTCATAATTGATTTTAAGTGATTCAAGACACTGATCTTATTCACAACCATTGATGTGGACACCACTGATGACGTCAACTTCAACTGGTAGGCAAACTTGTCGATCATATCTCCATATGACTCTTGGTCATCTTTCGATGCTCCATGCTCTGAGATTAGAACAATTGTGCTAGAACTTCAAGATAACCGAGTGTTTCAGCTTGCACGGTCTAAACTTTCACCTGCCTCACACATCACAATCCGGTCTGGACCACGTAAGCCATCCAACGCGGGCCTGTATCAGTCTATCGAGCAGTCCAGACGTACTTTTTCCTTCAAACCCGAGAGAAACGTGGGGCGCTTTGCGGGATCCCGGACAGAAGACATGCAGGACTCTGACAGCCCCAGCCTACCCAAAACCCTTCCCGGACCTGCGTCTTCACCCTCCTCATTTTCTATCCGTCCTTCTTTCTCTCTTGCCTTCTCCGCCGCTCCACCATCCCGGCCGCCATGCAACACCCCTATCAGAACTCTACGTCTTTGTCGCCTACATCGTTCCAGTCAGGCTCCACCCTGCTTCTCCTCCATCGTCACTCAACCCATCTCCTCCAACCGCCCCGCCAATTACCATCCGCTATTGCTATACACACCATGTAGGACAATTGTTTGATGAATTGCCGGAGCTAAAAATGTTGCTCTGTCTTCTTTCAAGCAATGAATTCCGATTTGGAGTACATATACGAGCACTATTTTGAGTCGTCCGATGGATCATCCGACGAGTTGGACTACACGGATGAGATAGCGATGATGTAGGCGGTCCTTGAAGACCTAGAGCATGTGGAGGAGCCATATGCACAGATGTTTAACAGCACATGCAGAGATGCCATGGTCAGGTTTGCAACTTCCCTGGTCGAGGTGGTTGGACCTCGGTACCTAAGAAAACCAACTGTGACAGACACCGAGAGGCTCTTGGCAATCTCAGAAGCAAGAGGGTCGCCAGGTTTGCTTGGATCTCTTGACTGCATGCATTAGAAATGGAATAACTGCCCGAAGGTTGTACAAGGGCAATATCGGGATCATGTTAAGAAGCTCACCATCATTCTTGAGGCAGTTGTGTCACATGATCTTTGGATTTGATACATTTTCTTTGGCATGCCTGGGTCTCACAATGACATCAATGTGCTGCAGGGATCATCATAGTTTGCGAGGCTCGCTAAAGGAAAAGTTCTTCCTTGACACTATGCCTTCAATGGACATGAGTAAACATGGACTAGTATCTAGTTGACTGTATCTATCCTCCGTGGGATACCTTTGTCAGCACCATCTCTAACCCAGTTGGTCAGAAAAAGTCTCACTTTGCCCCAAAAAAAGAAGCAGCTAGAAAGGATGTCGAGAGGGCATGTGGAGTTATGTAGGCCCGTTTTACAATTGTTCATGGACCTGCTAAACAATGGGACCCGGAGACCTTGTGGTAGGTGATGACATGTTGTGTGATCATGCACAACATGATCGTCGAGAATGAGGGTGAGCATGCTGCCACAGCTCTACAATTTAAGAATATGGGTGATCCTATCGAACTTCCAGACCAAAATCTGACCATTGAAGAGTTCTTTCAAATGCATCAACAAATTCAGTATCGACCAACTCACGATCAGCTGAAGGAGGATCTAATTGAGCATCAGTGGGCGGTTAAAGGAGACAACAATGTTGGAATGTAATATTTAAACTTGTTTAAATTTAAAAACTGCTGCATGCGGCTATTTGAATGTTTGTAATCTATGTATGCAGCTACTTGCACATCTAAACTCTATGTATGCGACTATTTGAACGTGCAAGCTTTCAAAGAATATTAGAGAGGCCCGATGTACGTGGGCAACGTTGGATGGTGACGTCCCGCATTCATGTCCATGAACTAGTCCCCTTGTCCACTGACGATTGCGGGAGAAAATTTGCAGGCTGCCATTGAAGATGCCCTTAGAACTGGGATAAACCCCAACAGTCGGAACCTCAAAACTAAAAATAGCAATTACTCTCATTATTTTATCTCAGCTCCTACCTTCTTGCAAATTGCTCTCATTTGACATTTTATTTCACATGGGGCTTTGAAGCGCAAAGTCATTTTTAGCGGTTCGGCATGTGCCGGCAATGATCTCACCACTGAATATCTGCTTTAAGATTTGGTCAATGAAGAGCAACTGTTCATCCCTTTTTGCTATACAAAATGAATACTAGGTCAAATACAGCTATTAGCACACACCTTTTGTCGTTACATCACATGCATGGATGTGACAGTTCACTCTATCACTTTTCTCTCACACACGTATGCATCTGTCTTTTCTCCCTAACTTGCAAACAAATTCATGGGCTTTTTTTCATTTTGACCACTTAAAAACATTTATATCTTTTAGATAAGTTCGTTTGTGAAACAATTTATATATTTGAACTCCTGGCGCCAAGACCACTAGAAGTAAACCAATTTTGGATATATTTCAAACACGTTTAAATTTCAACGTTTCACATTTCGTATGTGAAACAAACCTATTTCACTTGAAAAATGTGGATTTTGTGAAACCAGAGAGAGGAAGTGAAACATCGGTTTTGAAAGTAAAAAGAAAAAAAGAAACTAAAATGACAACTTGTGAAACTGGCTATTTGGAAATGTGTAACAATTTATTTTCAAAGAGTGAAATATGTTATTTAAAAAATGAGCAACTGAAATAGATGTGCTTTTTACGAAACAAGCGAGTGAATAATAATATGTAGCTTCTGAATTGTGAAATAGCAAGCATAAAAAGTGAAATTATAATTTATCTTTGTGAAACTAATTATTCAAAAATGTGAAACGATTTATTTCAAAACAATGAAATTGTTTATTTCAGAAATGTGTAGTTGAAATATATGTTTTTTGTGAAACAAGCCAGTCAAAAGTGAAATGTAGGTTCTAAATTTTGAAATAGTAACCATGGAAAGTGATATTATAATATATCATTATGAAACAAATTATTTGAAAATCTGAAACAATTTATTTCAAATGAGTGATACAAGTTATTTGAGAAATGTGCAATTGAAATATATGGTTGAAAAATATTCAAGATTAGTCTCATTTTAAAAGTTATGGCAAAAGGAGTTCAAATATAAAAATATATTCAGAAACAAATATATGGTTTAAAAGATATTGATGTTTTAAATTAGTCAAGAGGAAAGAAAAGGTTGGATTTATTGTGTGGGAGAAGAGAGATAGTGGTCCTCCCACATTAGTATCATGCATGCATGTGAAGTAGTACAAGAGAGGGCCAACTGTTTAAAAAGAGGACAGAAATACGGATGTGAGAAATCAAGAAGCAGTGCAATACCAAAATCAAAAATGCTAGGCCCATATAATACTAGTACATGGCAGCTCTCTATTGGACGCCGGCTTGCCGCTACATAGTTCACCGCCCAATTTTCCGTTTTGGGCTTTAATTTGAACCGCAATGCCCAAATATAGCACTCCAAATCTTTTGTTAGGTTGGATCTTGCTGTTGCGACGAGGAGTCTCTCCTACTGCCTCCCTATTCTTAGGCAATCACATTCACATGTTTTTCTTCCCGTTCGTGCCTCTTGGTCACTTTTCCTCCCTCCTTCGCCTTTCTTCCAACTTTCTTGCTCCACGGTTTCTCTGGTGCCCGGTGAATCTGTGAACCATTGAAGCCATCTGTTGGGGGAAGATGGTTGGCGAGGAGCTGCACTAACAGAGAATGGGGTGGAGCAACTTCGGGGATTGCATTTCATCCCGAGGCGCGGAGACGACGGCGGCCGATACAATCGTGGTCAGGGAAGGCTGCTTGATGATTTTCCCAAGGGAAGCATCCGGAAGAAATTCTGATCGCCGGAGAAGAGATCGCGTGAATCTCATAGAGAAGGCATGCCGAGACTAGCCCCGTCGCCAGGTTCATCAGAGGACGCAAGCGATGATCGGTCCGATGGTTCCAAGTCCAAGTCTAAGTCCAAGGCGCCTCCACCCCGACGGTCATCGAGATCATCCGGCTCTTCTTCAGATGAGAATGGCGACGACTCGTCTAGTCCATCTCCGCCATCTTCAGACGACGACGATGGAGGCTCGAGATCTTCCTCGTCATCCTCGGATTCGCAAGATTCCTCTCCCTCTGATTCGAAAGGCTCGCAGTCCTCTCGTCGGTCCCCTCCACCATCAAAATCAAAATCATCCCCGTCGCCGTCTTCGTCGCCCTCCCGAGCTTCCAGTTCCAGGAATGGTGGAAATTCCGACTCTTCACCTCCGCCGCCGACCGACGAGTCTTCCGGGGACGGCGAAGATTCCGACTCTTCGCCGCCGCAGAAACGGTCATCGCCTCCGGCGCAGTCGGAAGACTCAGAGCCTTCTCCGTCTTCATCCTCCTCTCGGAGCCCTCCGCCTCGCTCATCTCCACCGCCGCCGCCGCGATGGAATGGTAACGTTGACCAAGCAGGTTCTTCACCTCCTGATGGCAGCCAGCCACCTCCTTCTCCTTCTCCCTCTCCTCCTCCTCCTCCGGCGCCGGCGAACCATTCGGTGGTCTTTATAGTAAATAGCCATCCCGGAGCACCGCCAGGGCTTGTATCCATCGCACCCCCTGGTACCGTCGGTGTGATGTCTGCTCAACTCCCAGGAGCACAAGGTGGCGCCGTTGGGGCTGGCGGCATGCAGGCTGCAGGTTCGTCAGCGAGTACATCCAGTACTAATGGTGCTGGTGGAAGCGCAGCTTCTTCGTCTGCACAACAGGTCCACTCATCACAAGCAATAAATGGCCAGGTAGCGGCTGCCATTGCTGGCGCTTCCGTTGCCGGTTTGTTGTTCATCATCGTGGCCATTTTCTTCATCGTGACGAGGAGGAGGAGGAAGATGATGGAGGGAATGGTCTATCACTCGGGTAATCTTCACCGTCGTAGTATATACTCGTAGCTTCAAAAACACGTAGCGCAAAATCCGATAATTTTTTATGTACGTTTGGCTTCAGATGGGAGCCGGAGCTACTACATGCACTCGGGCCAACTCACCGGCTCCAACCACCCGTCGGGGGTGTTCTACGGGCCGCCGCCGCCGGGAGCATCCGGCGGGTTCTCCTACGGCCCTATGTCGACGCCGGGGCCACCGGGCTCCTCGGACAGCTTCAGAGGGGCAGGGTACCCGTCGGGCAGCATGGAGTCCAAGTCGTCCTTCAGCTACGAGGAGCTGACGAGCATCACCAGCAACTTCTCCCGCGACAACGTGATCGGCGAGGGCGGGTTCGGGTGCGTGTACAAGGGGTGGCTCGCCGACGGCAAGTGCGTGGCCGTGAAGCAGCTCAAGGCCGGCAGCGGGCAGGGGGAGCGCGAGTTCCAGGCGGAGGTGGAGATCATCAGCCGCGTCCACCACCGCCACCTCGTCTCCCTCGTCGGCTACTGCGTGGCGCAGCAGCACCGCATGCTCATCTACGAGTTCGTCCCCAACGGCACCCTCGAGGACCATCTGCACGGTCGGTCGGTGAGCAGATGCATGGATCGTCGCGTGGGTTTTTGCTGCGATTGTGACTGAGGCTTCTGGTGTGGTTGATCTGACGCGTGCAGGTCGCGGCGTGCCGGCGATGGACTGGCCGACGAGGCTTAGGATCGCCATCGGTGCGGCCAAGGGGTTAGCTTACCTCCATGAAGACTGTACGTTGATCTCCTTTGAGGTGTATATATGCATGTTGTGTGTTGCGCAGAGTTCATGGCGAGAAATACTTGTGATTTTCTGATGGTGACTCGTACGTTTTCAAGGTCACCCGCGGATCATCCACAGGGACATCAAGTCGGCCAACATCCTGCTCGATTACTCGTTTGAAGCACAGGCACGGTCAACCAACAGATGAGTTCTTTTCTCTTTGTCTTCCGGTATATTCTTCTGATCGATCTCGTGTCTGGAATGTGCATGGAATGCAGGTCGCGGATTTCGGGCTGGCCAAGCTCTCCAACGACACCCACACGCACGTGTCGACGCGCATCATGGGCACGTTCGGGTACCTCGCCCCGGAGTACGCGTCCAGCGGGAAGCTGACGGACCGGTCCGACGTCTTCTCCTTCGGCGTGGTGCTGCTGGAGCTCATCACCGGCCGGAAGCCCGTGGACCAGGACCGGCCGCTCGGGGAGGAGAGCCTCGCCGAATGGGTACCGACGACTACGAGTTTCCTCGCTTGCAGAACACGTACTCGTCACTGACACAAGTTACAGCTCACAACTGCTCCGTCGTCTTCTGCATGCAGGCTCGGCCGATCCTCGCCGACGCCATCGAGACCGGCAACCACGACGAGCTGGCCGACCCGCGGCTGGAAGGCAGATACAACAAGGCCGAGATGGTGAGGATGGTGGAGGCCGCCGCCGCGTGCATCCGCCACTCGGCTCCCAAGCGTCCCCGGATGGTGCAGGTAAGTGTGTCAGTCGCATCTTCGAGTGGAACAACGAGCTGGTGGTGACCACGGCCGAGATTTTCGTGGCGCGAATTAAGGAGCGTGGTTCGACCGGCAGGTGATGAGGGCGCTGGACGTGGACGTGGACGAGGGGAGCATGTCGGACCTGAGCAACGGGGTGAAGGTGGGGCAGAGCCAGGTGTTCAACAACAGCCAGCAGGAGGCCGCCCTCGAGCAGCTCCGGCGCACGGCCTTCGCCACCGAGGAGTTCACGGGGGAGTTCGAGCCGTCCGGGGAGTACGGTGCCGCCGCCAATACTCTGAACCAGCCGCGGCCTGCGGGGTGACAATCGACCAACATGTTTGTGTGTCGCTTGTAGTTAAGCTTTTTCTTGTTCTTTTTTTTTTCTTGTATGTCGACCGCCTTGGTTCAAGAAACTGCTCGAGTTTTAGCAAAAGTTGCCCTAAAAGTCGCATTGATTGGTTTAAAAGCTTGAAAAGAATCATAGGGCTTCAAGGTTGGGTGCATGACAACGGTGAGAATGTGCATATGGAATTTCTCAACAAAGAAAAAGAGAAGAAGGAATGTGCATGTGGGAAATTCGACCTAGAGATTTGAAATCGAAATCTTGGAGTTCTTTACCTGCCAACTAGAATTCATTTGATGATTCTGAAGCAAATTCAAATTCCACATGACGTCCCATGGCAAGAACCAATTTCTTTGCTCCGGCACTTCATTTGTCTGGAATCGAGCCATCT